AAAGATATATACACACATTAGTAGAAAACCTTTAAGTAGGAAGTGCACCCCCGTTAGTGGACTTATCCGACACGAATTCATATTAGTTGGGCCTCTTGGTTCCGAAAACCAAATGAGTAAATCAAAACAAGTACAACAGAGATATACATGTCAAATTTATGTATTGCTACTACTACTAATGTGAAACTATCTGCTAGGATGTAGGTCAGAATAAGATAAAGTTCTAAGTCAAGCTATTTTTTTTAGAATGGTAACATATTATTTAATCGTAGCACAAAGGCTGTGCTAAGGCCATATATACATATATCAAAAAGAGCAAAAACCACGGCTAACTTCTATCTCCTACTACAGTGATCCTATGATATCTATCATTGAATCTACATCCTGTACAGAATCTTCCTTACACCAAAAGTGAAACAAAAATAAGCAGTCCATCTTGATCTTCTTTAAGGAGTTGTTGTGTCCTTCAAAACATCTACTGTTTCTTTCCATCCAAATGGTCCACCATATATATCCCGGGATGATGTTCCACCACTTTTTTTATTTGATCAGGTCTCCAGAGAAATTCCAGCAAGCAAGTAGCTCCCCTGTACTCCTGGGCATGGCCCATGACAGTCCTTTCATACTCAAAAATAGGTGCCATAAAGCTCTAGAAAACTGACAGTGTAAAAATAAATGGCTAGTACTTTCAGCCTCATTTCCACACAGATAACACCTTGAACACAATGGCATGCCTCTTCTCATTAGATTGTCTTGTGTTAGACAATCATCCCTGGCTGCTAACCACACAAAGCAGGCTACTTTGGTTGGTGTTTTGGCTTGCCATATTGTTTTCCAGCTCTATAACTGAGTTTGTTGGCCTTGATGGTTGAGCAGTTTGTATGCTGAGTTCACTGAAAAAGAGCCACTACTATGCCTTGTCCATTTAACCCTATCCTCCTCCACTGTAGTCCCCTTGAAATGATCAAGTACATTCAAAAATTCAGTGAATCTAGGCAATTTCCAGTCATTTAGTTCTCTTCTAAAGTTAAAAGTCCATCCATGTTGTGAGCACGTGATTTTTGCCTTAAGCAAATTATTCCAAAAGTTTCAAATAATTGATTTCTTTATTATTTTATAATTTTTGTGAATTTTTGTGTTAATTGGTTGCATTTTTTATTCATATGAAAATACAAAAATATGCACTTGCATTTAGGGATTTAATTTCACAATTTCAGTATTAATTAGTTTTAGAACAAAATTTAAAGAAAATTGCAAAAAATAGTTTCCTTGCACTTTTTATTGTTAATTGTTGCATTTATCTTTAAATAGAGTTTTAAATAATTTTGGGAGTTAAATAGTTTAATTAGGTCTTTGTTTTTGTTTTAGCATTTTATAAAATCAGAAAAAATAAATAAATACAAAAATACAAAAAATAAAATACAAAAGCAAAGTGAATAAAATACAAGAAAAACAAAATCAAAAGAAAATTGAGTCCTTAATAAAAGATCCAAATTTGGGTTAAATTCACCCCAGCCCAAATCAAAGCCCCAAAATCCGTCCAAACCACCCCTGTTCCCAGCCCAAACCCGCATCCTAACCCGGTCCAACTCCCTTTGTAACAAAACGACGTCGTTTTGTTAAAATTAATCCTGGCCGTCGAGGATCTTTGATCCAACGGCTGGGAAGTGGGTTAATTTTAATATATTAATGTCCGAACACCTTCCCCCCCTCCTTTCGTCTCTCTAGAACCCTAAAGAACCCCTCCCCGTCTCCGCCGCCCTCCGCCCTAGCACCGCCGGCCAGAAATCGCCTCCGCCGGCGGCGAAGCTCCAATCACGCCCAAAATCTCACCATATCATCTCTTTCATCTCCTCATCCCATATCCTCTGTTATTTTCTTTCAAATCCCAACCAAACGTCCCAAATCCTCCAAACCCTAGGCACCGCCACCACTGCCCACGGCGGCGCCGCCGCCCAAGTGACCCCAAAAATACACCCTATGTTCCCCCGACTCCCCTTTTCCTTAATCCTCAACCAGATCCTCTCAAATCTTCTTACATCTTCTCGGATTTCAAATCTTAGATAGGCAGAACCCTAAATTTGGGGTTCCTCGAATTTGTCCCAATTCCCTGAGTCCAAAGCTCGAGTCAAGCTTCGAGATAATGTGTTCGCGTGTTTTGTTGAAGAACGCACGTTCACATCATTCCGGGGTTGACTCGAAAGTCCAGTCGAATTAATCTTAAAAACCAGTAAGTTTTCTTTCAATTGATATTAATTGATTTAGAATTTTTAGATTTTTAATTGATTTTTGTTTCATTGATTTGGTTCTGTTTTAGTTCTTATTTTTTTTAGGTTTACTTTGTCCCGTTTCGATTCTTCTTCTGTCGATTTGACTCTATATTTGTTTCCAATAGAATAAATCCATGTTTGTCGTTGTTAATTTGATTTTTAGTTTCAAGTTTGTTTGATTGTCATTAATTGTTGGTTTATTAATTGTTAGAATTATCTTTCATATTCTGATTAGTTATATTGATTGATGAGGCCAATTTTTAGACTGTTTGGTTATAGCTGGTAGATTTTGGTTAGGGTTAGTAATTTTAGGGTTATTCAGGGGTAGTATAGGCATGGGAAATGGTAGTTTAATCAGATTTAGTAAATACTGAAATAAGGTAAGGGTAGTTTAGGGATTTCAAGTATGGAAAAATCAGAATAGAACCCCCTAGGACTTTCTAGAAGGGGTTTTGAACTGAAATTCACAAAATAGGTGTAGTTACTTGTGTAACAAGTCAGAAAATATTGAAATCCAAAGAAGAAATCATTGGTAGCATTAGGATCCCGTTCCTTACAATATCCCGGCCAAAATCTGAGGATCTCCCGGCCAAAAAACCGTGAGCTTTTTCTTTCCAAATCCCGGCCAAAAACCGAGGATCTCCCGGCCAAAAACCGAGGAGCTTTTCTTTCCAAATCCTGGCCAAAACACCGAGGATCTCCCGGCCAAAAAAATCGTGGAGCTTTTTTCTTTCCAAATCCCGGCCAAAAACACGAGGGATCTCCGGCCAAAAAACGTGGAGCTTTTCTTTCCAAATCCCGGCCAAAAACACCGAGGATCTCCCGCCAAAAATCGTTGGAGCTTTTTCTTTCCAAATCCCGGCCAAAACACCGAGGATCTCCCGGCCAAAAACCGGGAGCTTTTTCTTTCCAAATCCCGGCCAAAAAAACTGAAGGATCTCCTGGCCAAAAACCGATGAGCTTTTTCTTTCCAAATTACGGCCAAAAAATCGAGGAATCTTCCCGGCCAAAAAACCTGGAGATTTTCTTTCCAAATCCCAGCCATAAACACCAAGATCTCCCGCCAAAAAACCGTCGGAGCTTTTTCTTTCCAAATCCCGGTCAAAAACTCGAGGATCTCCCGCCAAAAACCGTGGAGCTTTTTTTTTCCAAATCCCGGCCAAAAAACGAGGATCTCCCCGGCAAAAACCGTGGAGCTTTTTCTTTCCAATATCCCGCCAAAAAACCGAGGATCTGCCGCCAAAAACCGCGGAGCTTTTTCTTTCCAAATCCCAGCCAAAAAACCGAGGAGCTTTTCCCTTTCCCAATCCCGGCCAAAAAACCGGATTCTCTCCACATTCCTGATTGATTGCTTAGTATGTGTCACAACTAACTCACGAAATTTTCCTAGTGAAAACTGGGGCCAGAAAATTCGTTCGTTTGTTTGTTTTGGTGTATTAAGCAGGTCAACCCTCAAGACGCAAGGCGTGAAATGACCAATGGAGTAAATCTCAATCCAGAATCAAGAAAAGAAAAAAGAGCGAAAAGAGGAACTCAAATATGAAGCAAACAAGGGCACGAATTGCTCAAAATCTGATTGAAGTCACAAGCTCCGTTGATTTTGTTTTGACCCAATGCTGTACGAAGAAGTAACACACCTACAACTTGCGAGCATTCAAGATTCAGATCAAAAGTCCACAGCAAAATCAGCTAAGCACTCAAGATCAAAGATTCAAGAGATTTATAGATAGGAATCTTGTAACTCATAGTTGATAGGCCTAGCTAGCTTAGCTTTTGATTTTCTTTTGGTGTAATAAGGAGGTCAGCAAGCAGTAGCAGCAGCAACAGCAGTGAAATCACAGCTCCGGGTAGTCCCAGCTTACCAGGACACTCCCGAACTACACTGACCTGATTCCTGTTTAGCCCGGGATATGTAGGCAGCTCTAAAGCAGGGTGCGGTCAACTCTTTCAAAATGCTTCAACACGAATATGCGAACAGGCGAAATCGCTCATTTCCGCTCACTTGTCTTTGCACGAAAACTGTTCGTGTTTCCGGGCAAAGAGGGGCAGCTGTGAGCACGTGATTTTTGCCTTAAGCAAATTATTCCAAAAGTTTCAAATAATTGATTTCTTTATTATTTTACGATTTTTGTGAATTTTTGTGTTAATTGGTTGCATTTTTTATTCATATGAAAATACAAAAATATGCACTTGCATTTAGGGATTTAATTTCACAATTTCAGTATTAATTAGGTATTAATTAGTTTTAGAACAAAATTTAAAGAAAATTGCAAAAAATAGTTTCTTTGCACTTTTAATTGTTGTTGCATTTATCTTTAAATAGAGTTTTAAATAATTTTGGGAGTTAAATAGTTTAATTAGGTCTTTGTTTTTTTTAGTATTTTATAAAATCAGAAAAAATAAATAAATACAAAATACAAAAAAAAATAATAAAATACAAAAGCAAAGTGAATAAAATACAAGAAAACAAAATCAAAAGAAAATTGAGTCCTTAATAAAAGATCCAAATTTGGGCTAAATTCACCCCAGCCCAAACCAAAGCCCCAAAATCCGTCCAAACCACCCCTGTTCCCAGCCCAAACCCGTATCCTAACCCGGTCCAACTCCCTTTGTAACAAAACGACGTCGTTTTGTTAAAATTAATCCTGGCCGTCGAGGATCTTTGATCCAACGGCTGGGAAGTGGGTTAATTTTAATATATTAATGTCCGAACACCTTCCCCCCTACCCCTCAATCATCTCTCAGATCCGTTTTTATCACCACCGTCTCCGCCGCCCTTCGCCCTAGCGCCGCCGGCCGGAAATCGCCGCCGCCGCCGGCGATGCTCCTTTTCCGTCCAAAAATGCACCATAGAACCATCTCACTCTCCTCTTTCAAACCCCAACACAATTTCCCTCAAATCCCGGCCAAACGTCTCGAATATTGAATCTAAACTCTCCGGCCAAAACCTCACCTTGTCCAAACACCCCCAAATCGATACCCCTTAACCACCAGACCTCCCTCGTCCTATATCTGTCCTTCTTCCCCTTCAAATATCGACCAAGCCCCTCAAATTTCGAATCTAAGAGTTCAATTTAAGTTCAGATGGAAACTCAAGCCTGCAAAGCCCTCTCCGGTTCCCGTGATTCTAATTTTGTCCCGTGCAAACATTTTTACCCGTTCTTGGACAAAAGA